TGGACCTAAAATTATACTCCTCTTGATCATTTTTGTTGCTTATTCGTTTTACTTTGTGTGCTAAGTTTTATCTGGTTACACATAGATTATTCTCTATGGAATTTACGTCATGCAACTGCTCTTTCCCCGTCATTCACTAAACCAAACAAGATACGCTCTCTCTATGGATTAGGTACCTATGGTTCTTTCAGTGATTTTGGGGATGGGATCATTACATTTTCATCATGTTTGAGTAATAGTAATATCGGCAAAGGGCCAAATATACCCCTATACTTTCGAAAATGGTCTAAGAATATCCCTCGTTATACTATTGGGTTATCTATACCCCTGCCGTCATACTTTGGAACAAAAATACCCTTATTTTTGATGGAGTGCCACGTGGCAACACCAAATTAAAACGACCCATTTATTTTTTTACCCGTTCCGTTTAAGAAGACCCACCACCCGACCAAATTTTCACCCCACTTAAGCATGAAAAAAACCCACTACCCGACTGCTCCAACAAACTCAGCAGCGTTATTTCTGGGAGAAATTCAAAAATAGCCAAATTTAGAAGTGGTCATTCAAAAATAGCCACAGTTTCAAAAGTAATTGTAATTTAGCCACTTTACATGTAAAGATAAATCTGAACAAAAACATCTATTCAAAATCCGGAAAGATACTCCAGTATAATATACTGGAGTTCTCGCATAAGTATACTGGAACTCCAGTATATTATACAGGAGTTCTAGTAAATTATATTGGAGTTCCAGTATAATAATTTACCGGTCCAGCATAATATACTGGAGTTTGGAGCACCGGTGCTCCAATCTCCAATATATTTTAATGGAAGTTTCCGCGTGTTGGAGTTCCAGCATAATATGCTGGAAATTCATACACAGGTACACCGATCTCTAGTATATTATGCTGGAACTTTCCGTGTTGCAGCAAAATAGTGGCTATTTATCAATGACTTTGCAAACACTGGCTATTTTTGAATGACCAGTCCGAAAACTGGCTAGCCCGTGCTTTTTTAATGTTATTTCTTGAGAATGATTCATAGGGAGTCCAATTTTGTAATGGACTATGTTTTCTTATAACTGCGATACGCAAAAAACTTCCTCGCAGTCGATATTTATACCAAATCATACGAACTTATCATGATTAAGTGATTTAATGAGGTAATAATATATAATAGCTAAGTAAGAAAAGTGTATGTGTAATTGCATATCATATATTTATTGATTTGGTGTAAATACTAGTACCGATAAATCCATAGCTAAGTGAGAAAAGTTTATGTAGATGTTGCAATCACATATCATATATCTATTGATTAGTATAAACACAACGTGCTAGTAAGTAAATGTCCAGATTTTTCCCTCGCAGTAATGTATAAAAATAGACATTTTTACACCTTTCATGGATGCTGCTAACCTTTTATGCGTGAAAAGGTTACATTGGACCAGAAACAAATATTTCATTTTTACACCTTTCATTGTTTGTTGGAGCAGAACTCGGGTGGTGGGTTTTTTTTCACCCTTAAGTGGGGTGAAATTTGGGTCAGGTAGTGGGTTTTTTTAACGGATCGGGTAAAAAAGAAATGGGTCGTTTTAATTTGGTGCTGCCACGTGGTCTCCATCCAAAATAAGGTTATTTTTGTTCCAAAGTATGACGGCAGGGGTATAGATAACCCAATAGTATAACGAAGGTATTCTTAGACCATTTTCAAAAGTAAAGGGGTATATTTGGCACTTTGCCATAATAATATTAGTTCTGTAACCAGTCATTGACTTAAGCATGTGAAGTTTCGGAATATTGGTAATGCTTGCATGAAATTAAACTTTCATTGATATTGGGCAGAATCCTAAAGGGTGACTATGAGTTGTAATTGTTATACCTAACCAGACATATTTATGGACATGATTACTCTATCTCATTTAATGCTAATACATTGTTCATTAATTTTATTTGGATCCATGAATTTGTATAGGCTGATGTTGGTATATGCATGAACACCATAATGGCATAATTTGCATTTAACAACAACAACAGACCCAGTGTAATCCCACAAGTGGGGTCTGAGGGGGTAGTATGTACGCAGACCTTACCCCTACCTTCAAGAAGCCAGAGAGGTTGTTTCCGAAAGACCCCTTGCATTTAACGATACTCATAAAACAAAGTTTGCGTTTACCGTCATGTCTTTTATGTCTGAGGGTTTCTTTCGCATTACCCTAAATCTCTGGAGCTACCAATCTGCATAGTTGAATATCAACAGTCTTGTAAGCACGGAAAGGTGTTGCTATCAAGGAAAGAATGACACAATTCCTCTGTATGATGTATCAACAAAGAATAGTACAAATCCTTTATTGTGACTACGTGATCAGCGCGCAGCAAGAAATTAGAGAAATTCAGGGATTTAACGGCTGGTAGCACTTATATATCATTAAGTTTTAACAAGAGAAGTTTGCTGTAGAGGACATTTCTGTTCTTCCAAAAGCCGGAGTGATATTGAAAATGCTAATTGTTCGGAGAGAATTTGTACGTTAAAAAACATACTGCTGGAGATATTAAGTTATATAAGTAGAGAATACTTTTTCCTTTGAACTGAAAGACAGCTGTTATCTAACACCTCGATAAGAGATTGTGTTTTGGATGCTAGCTTGGAAGTCCAAACTTCAAGCAGCTTAAGATTCTACACTAGTTGCTTCCCATTGTTCTTATTCTCCAAATTACTAAACCTTGGTATTCTGAAATTTTAAAATCGATCTTACTCACCTTTCCATGTCATTGCAAAATTAAGCTTCTTATGTTTACCCACCCCCCCACCCCCACCCCACCCCTTTCCCTCCATTTGCCTAGTTTTCTCCGAAAATTGCATTAAGGTGCTGTTAATCAAGAGTGAACTGGTTTTTCAAGGTAGAAAGAGGAAACCAATTGAGTGAAAAAATATTGCGATATACTTTTTAAAGAAAAATGATATGGCCAAACCCTCAGGGGTTGGCCTAGACTTGAGCCTTGGGGTTTGCTCCCTTTCAAGGTCTCAAGTTCGAAACCCACTGGGTGCAAACAATTTCTGAGGGCCATCGGACTGGGTAAAACCTGAATTAACCGTGGTGCACTTGTGGGAAACTCCTTGCTGAGGGCCTGTGCTCCCCCGGGATTAGTCGGGGCTCTTAGAGATTCGGACACCCGGTGCAAATAAAAAAAAAAAAAAAAGAGAAATGATATGGCCAATGTATTAAGCACATGTCCGGCTTTCTGTCTTTTCCTGTTTTTGGTGCCCCATGATTAACAAAATGTTTCCATTGCTGATACTAAGTTCAAATGCAGATTCCTTATGTAGGTTTAAACTTTGCTGTTTATGAATCGTTAAAAGATTGGTTGGTCAAAACCCGACCATTTGGACTAGCTCAAGACACTGAATTGAGTGTTACGACAAAGCTCGGCTGTGGTGCTATTGCTGGAACTATTGGGCAGACAGTTGCTTACCCTCTTGATGTCATCCGTCGAAGAATGCAGATGGGTGGCTGGAAAAATGCTGCTTCAGTTGTTACTGGTGAGAGCAAGGCACCTCTAGAGTATAGCGGCATGGTCGATGCATTCAGGAAAACAGTTCGTCATGAGGGTGTTGGAGCTTTGTATAAGGGTTTAGTCCCAAATTCAGTCAAGGTTAGTCTAACCCATTACGTGTTCTTTAAAAGTGGTTCTCCCCCCCATACACCCCATGTCCAGGTAAACAGAGTGCTAAAGCAACCAGTTGCTTTCTACAATTCCCTTCAGATATCAAGATATTCTCCTGGTATTCCAATAAGGTTAATTAGTGCCTATCCTCGGAAATTATTGTTCTCTGTTGTACTTATAAAGAGAGTGATTTGGTTTGGTTGTACTTATATTGTTCTCTGTTGTACTCATATGACATTGTGCCTCTCTTTTCAGGTGGTACCGTCTATAGCAATTGCATTCGTGACATATGAGGTGGTAAAGGACATTCTTGGTGTGGAAATGAGGATATCTGATTGAATTACTCGAAGAAGTTCAGGTTATATTCTGAACCTGCATGTTAATTTGCCTGGAGAAGCAAGGAAGGTGTTAATGGGAAAGTGTTATTTCATCGACTTGGCAAAGGAGAGATCCTGAGCACCCGAATATTTTTACCCATACCCACCGGTTGTCTTTGCATCCTCTAGGTTTTTAGTATATTGGATAAAGTAGCAATAAAGAGTGGTCTAGAAGTAGCAGTACACTTCATGTTATAGGAATCAAAATACTCATTTTGCGAGTATTTTTATACAACGCTTATTGAATAGATATCCGGGTCTTTGGTTTCATATTTGCTCGATGCTATTCCATTTTTTGTTTGATCACGTGATCAGTACTTATGTTAGGTGCCATACTTTATGGCACAGGCAAGAGTAGCTGTATGCTGATCTAAATATTTTGTGCCTGCAAATAATGCAGTAGGATTATTACATTTTGCAGTTTTCACCAGGAGATTGAAATTAATTGTTGATTTGCTCGTGAGAGGATTGTTTAATTACATGAAACCTATGGCGAATCAAACTAACCCGCAATTTCTGTCATTAGCAATTTAGCATATTGGATAATGAGTGATGCTGGTGGACCGTGGATTTAAGCCATTGGGTGCAGACTTGTATATTTCACTCTCTATTCTTTTGAGACAATGCTTGAGTATAAATATATAGTACTATTTCGTAAAGAATTCAACTATATGTATAGATAAAGCTTACGCACTAGATGCACCTCACCCGCTGCGGGAATGCAACATCCGCCTTCACTGGGCATTGTGGTTGATGACTAAAAAGGAACTAGAAACATCGATCTAAATTTTCTAGAAAATAATTGATTCCGCCTTGCTTCTGAAATTAGCTAAGATAAAGTATCCATCAAATCTTCTTACTAAGGAATACAGAATCAATTTTATGTAGAAACTGCAAAAATACTCCCGCAGGAAAAGATTATAAAGAGGGAAAACTACATCCCCAAAGACAATCTTAGGAATGTGTATGTAATATTCGGGAAAGATTTATTCCAATGAATACTCACAAGATTATGATTATGCTAATTGATATATTCAATGAATGAAGTTCAACTGAAAAAATAGTAGCATTACTTGCCTATACAGCCTAAAAAGGGCATATTAAAGAAACTAAGATGCTTACAGACGACAGCATCCAAAAACTAACGACCAGAAATAGTATCATTTACCTTCTGAAAGAAACGACCAATCACTCCAAAAACCAAAAGAACAAAACTAATGTAACCAGGAAAGCATAACAAAAATGATGTACCATTTGCGAAGGAATTTCAAGCAGTTACTTGCCTTCTTCCCCTAGTCTTTGAGATCATCTCTATAAGACCATCATATCGACTCTGGTGGTAATCAATCCATATACACAACTGTCGTATCGCCTCCCTTTTTTCCTCACTCAAGTCTAAGATTCCCTTATCTTTGTCATTCATCTTCTTTTCATACTCTGCTATCTTTTCATCCTTATCTGCTGTCAGTTTCTGCAGTGTAGCTATCTTTTCTTCAAGTTGGTGAACAGTTTCTGTCAAACTCCCCCTTTGATTCACCTCGCTTTGCTCTGCTTTTGCTAATTCTTCAACCTTCTCTTTTAATACTGATGTACATTCTTTCTCGTCTTTCAGTTGCTGCACTAGAGTATCGATTTCCTTCTTCAGCTGCTTCTTTTCTTCACCTGCTTCTTTGATCCAGTTCAAAGCAACCTTAAGCTCATTCAATATTTCATAAATGCGGGACTCCAAGTGACCAGTGTCTTCCTCATACTTCATATTGAATGTGTCCATTTCATTCAGAGTGTCATTCACCTTATCTGAAACGTCTGCTATTATTTTCACTTGAGTTTCCTTGTAAGCAGCAACAACTTCGGATAATGTCGCAATCCTCTCTTCCATTAGCCTTTGATGTTGCAGTAACTTCTCTTCTTTCTTCATGTGGTCCTCTTCTTTCTCAGACAGCAACTGCTCAGTCACCCGAAGCTTCTGGTTGGTTAATCGTAGCTTAACTTCAGCGTTCCGGACATTCTCCAATAGTGTGCTCATTTCATCTCCTTTCATTTCTAGATCCCTCTTCAGATCTTCAATCTTGTCATCCAGTTGGTCTATTTTCTGATCTTTACTTTCAAGATTCTTCTGGTATTCTTCTGTTATCTCTTCAATCTTCCTTTCTGAAAGTTTGAGATTTTCCTTGTACTCCTGCAGCAAACCTTCAAGCTGTTTTTGCTCCTCGCCCAGCTTTCCAAACGCTTCCTCATGCTCTTTCAGCTTCATTTCCCGATCCACTACCTTCTGTGATAATTCGGTGTGCTGATTCTCTGCTTGTGCCAAACTTTGAGTGGACTCTTGTTTACCTCTTTCAATTACCAATTCTAGCTGGTCTTTCTCAGTCTGCAGTAATTCTATCTGCTGCCTCGACTTGTTCGCTTCTTCTGTCAAGACAACAATTTGAGCAGAAGTATCAGTTTGCACATCATCTAGTCTCTTTTGCAATGCTTGATGCTCCTCTGCTTTCTCGGCTAATGCATTCTCTAGTTCAGATATTTTGAGGAGGAGACTTTCCTTTTCCTCCTTCAGCAGATTGTTCTCATTGCTTGTATTGCTTGTGTTTTCTTCCAATGTGCTCTTCTGCTCACAAAGAGACTTCACTTCAGCCTGGAGATCATTGACCTGTACCACTAGACCGTCCTTCTCGTCCACCAACTTCCCGAGTGCTTCCTCCTGCTCTTTCAGCTTTATTTCCAGATCCACAATCTTTTGTGATAATTCTGTGTGCTGATTTTCTGCTTGTGCCAAACTTTCGGTGCTTTCTTGTTTACCTCTTTCAGTTACCAACTCCAGATGGCTTTTCTCGGTCTGCAGTAATTCTATCTGCTGCCTTAACTCATTAACTTCTTCTGTCAATGCAAGAATCTGAGTAGAAGCTTCATTTTGCACATCCTCCAACTTCTTTTGCAAGGCTCCATGCTCATCAACTTTCTCGACTAATGTATTCTCCAGTTCAGATAGTTTGCTCAGGAGATTTCCCTTTTCTTCTGTCAGCAGATTGTTCTCATTGTTTACACTGCTTATGTTTTCTTCCAATGTACTCTTCTGTTCACAAAGAGACTTCACTTCAGCCTGGAGATCATTGACCTGTACCACTAAACTGTCCTTCTCTTCCACCAACTTCCCAAATGCTTCCTCCTGTTCTTTCAGCTTTATTTCTTGATCCACAATCTTTTGTGATAATTTTGTGATCTGATTCTCTGCTTGTGCCAAACTTTCAGTGGATTCTTCCTTACCTCTGTCAGTTACCAACTCCAGCTGGCTTTTCTCAGTCTGCAGTAATTCTATCTGCTGCCTTAACTCATTAACTTCTTCTGTCAAGGCAACAATCTGAGTAGAAGCTTCATTCTGCACATCCTCTAGCTTCTTTTGCAAGGTTCCATGCTCGTCCACTTTCTCAACTAATGCATTCTCCAGTTCAGATATTTTGCTTAGGAGACTTCCGTTTTCCTCCCTGATCTGTACGACTAGGCCTTCTTTCTCTTCCAGCATTCTCTGTCCATCTGATGCCTTCCCTGCTAATTCCTCCTTCAAATTTTCCAACTGGATGAGGTATTCTGATGTTTCTCCAGTTTTTGCCTCAAGTTGAGACTCTATTTCGGACTTGTGAACTTGCAAATTTTCCAACTGCTCCTGCAGATTGCTCACCTGCAAACTTAAGGCAGCAATCTGAGCAGATGATTCAGTTTCTCCATCTTCAGATTTCTTCTTCAGAATTGCTAGTTCACTTTCTCTCTCGGTTAATGCCCTCTCAATTTCAGAAATTTTATCTTGCATCATCTCCTTGTCGCTTTTCATCTGAGCAACCACCTCATCTTTGCTTGTCAGCTGCTCTTCCAACTCACATTTCAGATTTTGAAGTGATTTTAGCTCCACTTCTAGGTCCTTCAGTTGTGAAAGAGAACTTTCTTTCTCTTCCAGAATTTTCAGTGAATCTGCAGATGTGTTTGCTATATCCTGCTTGAGACTCTCTATCTCACTTGAGAATTCTGCATTTTCTTGTGCTTTCTTCTCCAATTCTGCTTCCATATCAAGTTTCTGGCAACAAAGGGACTTCAATTCTTGGTCCTTTTCATTCACCTTATTTGTTAAGTTCTCAAGTTCAGCTGACGTCTTGTTTCTTTGTTGCTCCATTTGCTCCTCCAGCTTGCCTTTCACTTCATGTAAGGATTCAATTTCAAGTTGCATATCGTTTATCTTTGTTGTCAGAGCTTCCATCTGGGATGTGAATTCCTCCTCCTTTTCCTCAAGTTTCTTCAGCAATGCGGAGAGCTCATCTTCCTTCTGTTTCTCTATTTCTGATCTCTGAGACTGCAATGAATCAATCTCCAGTTCCATACCTCTTAAACGAGTTGATGATTCATTTTTGTGAGCCTCGTGTATCTCAGTGTGAGTAGAGAGTTCCTTTTCTTTCTCATCTAGCATCCCCTTTAGCTGGTCAGCTTCAGTCACAAGGTCTTGGATCTTTTGTTGCGCTTGTCCTATCTCCTCTGTGAGCTGTAAAATCCTCAATGATAGCGAAGAATTGTCCTCCTCTGTGGCCTTTTGTGTTTGACTTAGCTGAGCTATTTCTTTTTCAGCAGAATCTAGTTGTTCCTTCACTGAGGGAAGTTCGGTTTTCAGGGCATCCAATTCTACCAGTAGATTTTCTTTCTCTTCCTTCAAATGCCCCACAGTGGTTCTTAATTCTTCGATAGTACTATTGCCTTCTGAAATGCTGTTTTCCATGGCTTCTTTCTCCGAAAGTAAGCTTTCTCTTTCTCTAGTTATCTCGTCCAGCTTCTGCATTAATTCAGCTTCTAATTTTGCAGATTTCTCCAAATTCTCTTTGAGTTTCGCATTATCAAAAAGAAGCTTTAGATTCTCCTCCTTCAACCTTTCACCTTCACTATTCAAACTGCTGATTGTTGTTTCTGCTTCTTGTAATTTGCTCAAAGAGCTCTGGTGCTCCAAGTGCAAGGCCTCCTTTTCTTCTTTCGCAGCCATTAACTGAGCCTTCAATTCAACTATTTCTAGATTTGCGCTTGCCAGTTCTTCATTAACGCCATCTGTTACATCTGCGAATTCCATTTTACCATTTTTCTTGCCTTTTTTTCTAGTACTGTAATCTGAATCTGAGTCTGAGCTGGAGGAAGAACTATCTTTCTCATGTTTTCCATGTGCATTTTCCCTCAGTTTTCCAGTGAGATGATCGTAACGAGCATACAGTGATTGGTAGTGATTTTGAAAATCTTCTACTAGCTCCACCAGTGGTTCTTTCTCATCTCTGCCATCTTCTCCTCTAAGATAAGCCAAGATCTTCTGAATTTTGCCTTCAATTTCTGCAATATGAAAGGACCAAGTGTTAACTTTGCTTGAAGATTCCACTTGGGCGCCAAGAATTTTATAGACCATTTTAATCTGTTCTTTTTCTTTTCAGAAGGGGTGAGGACTGGGAATTGGTGCCTATGGAAGTTAAATAAAATAATGCACTGAACATATTCACTATAACGACTAAGAAGTTCTATTACTTTGAGCTTAAAGTTGCAGTTGGTAATGTCTGTGTATTGACTAAGACTTTGGAAGTTAGATTCAGCAGCATTAATGCCATAAATGCATGTACCTGCTTTTGTTCCTTTCAGCTCCTCATCTTTCTCTTGATCAACATGACTTCCAAAAAAGGATTTAATTCTTTCGCTGATGTGGTGCTTTGCCTTTGGCATCTCTTCAAGTTTTCAGTTACTAGTCAGTGTTTCTCTTTTCAGCAATAGAGGGCTGTGTCCATCTCAATTAGTGTAAATTCCAGCACTGAAAAAGAAAATTGATGTGTCAGGATTTGAGACAGTAAATTTAGAGACTCGTAAATTTAATATCAACCAAACAAGTTAAGGACGCAAATTTAGATAGAAGAAAAGTACACCAGGATGGTATTACCGAATAATTTACTTCCACTAAAACAAGAAAACATGAATAGCAAAATAATCTTCCAATACTAAATGGAGAGAAAGAAGGGGAGCCTAGGCGTAACCAGTAAAGTTGCTGCCATGTGACCAGGAGGTCACGGGTTCGAGCCGTGTGTAGAAATGCAGGGTAAGGCTGCGTATTATAGAGTCGGAAGTTTTCCGACTCTTCCCCGGACCCCCCTCATAGAGGGAGCTTAGTGCACCATACCGTCTTTTACTAAATTGAGTGAAAGAACAAAGAAAACGACTAGATACTTAACATTGTTCCAAAGATGAAAAAGACCATGACTTATGAAAGGAGATAGTGATACCGATTGGGAAAAGAGGCAAAAAAGATGGTAATTATACTATTAGACGAGTTTTAGCCTATTTGGATTTCTCTTTACAGAAAGATGTTGATAAAAGATTCTTCAATATCAATACCAATTACGTACTTACTTTAAACAACATGCCGAAAAGAGCAAAAAGCAAATCGAACACAATTGAGATAAAGAGAAAAGATCTCTCTGCCTCTTTTGCAAGATTCCCCAAAACTTAAGATATTCAGTCCTATCAATCTGGAAGTTAAACTAATAAATACTAGACCATTGTTCATATGTTCTTCATCACGTTTTTTTCTTCAGAAAATGTAGAGTTGTTTTTATTTTAAAGCATGTCACGTGTCCGAATTCTGCACACTCAATATCTTTTCCACTATGTCCTGCTTTCATTTATTTGATGTCCTATAATGTAGTGTAGGCTACTCTACTTTAAGCAGCCTCTTCACTAACCAAGAGCAATAACTAGGACTTATAGCTCAATAAATACCCAGCATCTCATAATATGTGGATGAGAATCGGGATCATCAGCTCAATATCCTTGTGTTAGTCATTAGCCAAAAAGGCCCTTTGCTTCTCATACATGGCAGTATGAGATGTCAAAAGCAAAATGAATATAGTGGGACAGTCTGAGCTGTTGGAATTGTATTTTTTTTTTTTTTTTTTGGAAAATTTGGAGGAAAACCTGCATTTGCTATCTTTCGGGTGCACATTGTGCAACCTGCTCACCGTGCAATAGCGTACTAGGTAAGCCCAATGCGAGGAGCTTTGACTGAAGAGACTGCTGGTGAGGGACATCGATCTCAAGTCTCCCACGTGGGAAATTATTCACCCAACCAATCTTTGCGGGCCTGTCGGAATTGTTAAGATGCTGTTTATGCCAACATCTAGACATAATAAATGGCGATACATCTAGAAAATGGAGAGCACATTGAACATTTTTTATTAAGCATACGGGAATAAAATTATGATTTCATAGTACTTTTCATACTACTTGTATCATATGACTTTTTATTTAAAAAAATAGTAAAGATCGGTGCATAAATTCATACAAAATATTTAATGTGTTGAACAATGTACTCCGGAGTCCAGATCTACATACTTTTCGAACTGGACGGATTATTCTAATTGGACTCTAGAGTAATGTGGAGTAAAATAAAACATTAAAGAAATCTGGACTCTCACAAAATAATCAGAATGTACTTTAAAGTATTTTCCAATTTTCTGAAATCCTTTACAAATGCGCATGCGTTATTAATTAGTCTCTATTTTCAGATTTTGGCCGACGCAAAACATTGGAATGTCTAAGGCTAAAAAGGGAATAACTTAATTTCTAACGCCAAACATGTGTCTTTCTGACGATAGGACCTACAGAACAAAATAGCCTATCATCAACTAAACAAACTTTTTTGTCAATCATTTTAGGTAAAAATGGAGGGAAACGGCAAATTTTCCTTCCTTCAAAACAAAAGTATTTTAGAATATGCCAAAGCATTTACATTTTTTAATTCTGAAGAAACTTCAATTTTAAAATAAAATGTACAAACTTAAAAGGCTAGGAAGTACTCTAAGTCATATTTGTTAAAATCAAAACATATTTCAAAGATTTTACAACAAAATAATTTTATGCCTTAAATAATACTAGGGTCATGTGAAATAGGATGGATAATTGATAAAACTTATCCGATTCGGTATTTACATCAAAATATATATTAAATTAAGATAAAATAAGTATTAATTAACTAATAATTTACTAATAACTATATATGTAAAAGTATGTGTCATGTAATTTTTTTATTAAATTGGTACTATCATAATTTTTGCAAGCGAGAGGAGAGAAAGTTGAGCAATGACAGATCCATTCATTTATTTATTTAATTTTTTATAAACAGATCCATTTTTTTGGTTGGGCAATGACAGATTTATATTTTGGCCGTTTGTGACAGGGGTCAGGTAATTCAAAGGTCAGCACAACTTTGAAAACTGTAAATGCCAGCTGGATTATAACAGACGTGACATGTTCTTCTTTACGTTCCAAGTATTTTTCGTTTCTCTTTTTTCTTTTCCATTTTTTGCCCTTTTTATTCCCAAGTAGCCAGCTAAATGCCACTATTTTTTTTTTTTAAAATGTCACTAATAGTATATAGTACTAACAACATTCTAAAAAAAAAAAAAAAAAGAGTAAAGCAAAGTTTACTGATTACTCTGTTCAGCTCTCCACTGAATACAAAAAATCAGAACTGGATTCCAAAAGCTAAAACTGAAGAAATTGCCTTTTAATTTTCTGAACTAATTTGGAACTTTCCTTGCTTATCTACATCTAATTAATCTGAATTTAGTTCATATGAATGAAGAAACAAATCGTTCGAAACAATTTTCGATCTGAATTCAGTTCATAATCATCAAAAATATCAACAGAACACAGAGAAAAAAAGTTAACCATATATTAGAAGAACAGGAAAGTTCATCAAAATATTTAGCAGAAAACAGTGAGAAGATTCATACAGTTGAGAATTCAATCACAAAAACAGAGCAAAATCTCGAAGAAACTAAACTCATCGGTTCGAGCAAAAAACGTCGAAACCGAAACTTCGAGAAGCTGTTAAATCAATAACTTCATCAAGTCAAAGCTTAATCAACTGATCAAAAATTAACTTAATAAACTCATCAAAATTAATCCGAAACAGATTAATACAATCACAATTTCTACATGAAGCGCAATCAAATTTCAGTAGATTAACAATCAACCTACTAAAAACATCAAAAAATCACCAAAAGTGAATATTAATATCAAAAGTTGAAGCTCTTATAATCTCCACATGAAGAACAATTAAAATTACGCAGATTAACGATCAAAACACTAACAAAAAAGAAATAAAATTACCTGAAAACTCCGGCTCGAAGCAAAACTGGAAAAAAAAACTATAGAGAGAATGATGAAATTAAAAAGCAGTTTTTCAAATTTGAGGAGTGAAAAAAAAATATAGAGAGAGAAAATGAGAAGAGAGTGGAGGACTTTGTAGTACAGACAGTAATGATAAAAATGAAATATGAAAAATAAGACAGAGAAAGCGGGTCACTTTTGTAAGGAGGAAAAAGTTGAGGGGAAAAAGTGGATTTGTCTGTTATATGGAGCCCTTAAAAGGCTAAAAACGACTGGTACAGCATTTCTAACTTCAAATTTTTCGTGAAGGGAAGAACATGGAATTTTTGGAGTTTTATTCAATCAAAATTACCTTTTGATTTTTGTTATATTACGAGAACACCATTATTTTGTTTTTATCCATTGGTTATTATTTTAATAATTATTTTGAGTGGTGGACTGGTGGGCTTATTTGGCTTGAACAGGTCACTCTGCCTATTAACAGTTTTCTCCTGTACTTACCATGTATTTGCCTTGGTTTTATCATACATATTTAAGTTATAAATGTATTTAATGAATTCTAGTGGAGTATATTACTTATCATTTTTATATTTATATAATATATGTTGATAATATTAACTCCGTATGTTTGCTTCGTTCACATTGGATTCGGATTCAGCAGATTGACAACTAACTTAAAAATTAGTCAATTTAAGATATTCGCAAATTACAGATAAGTTAAAGATTATTTATAGCCGATTCTAACTTGCTTAAAATTGAAGCGTTATTATTATTATTATATTGATACTTGATAGTGTAAAGAAGTTTTACATGATCGTTAAATTTTAATAAAATATCAATTGTTATTTACCATTTATAGATTATCAATCCATCCTTCTATAATTTAATTAGTAAATTATTAAATGGTTTCTAAGTTCAACATCCAAGTTTAATGCAGAATCCACCTCAATACTCAAAAATCCATTTCTTTAGTCCTGGTTTGCTAAAAAATGGAATACACTAAAAACAGTATTCCATCTTTAAGTGTAATTCCTCAAATACTTGACAACATGGATCTAGTTCACATGTGGACTCTGCAATATGATTTTAATCAGTTTTAAGTTGCTTTATAGAAAACAAATCAAACCCAAATATCATATTAACTTGTTCTAATCATTAGAATTTATTAAAGATGAGCGACTAGTCGTTGAATGGTAAAACCCCTTCATCGTATTTTAATTTATTGATGCGAGATTTACAACAACAACATGTCCAATATAATCTCACAAGTTAGGATTAGGGGAGAGTAATATGTACACAGACCTTACACTATTTTCAATAGATCCTCAACTCAAGATTTATAGTTGCGGAATTTGATTGTTCCTTACCCCAATAAATAAATAAATAAATAAATGCACAAATTTATGAAATTGTTAATACATGCTACATTGCTACGTAGAATCTAATTCATGTACCATGTTGTTAGTTAAAAATTCCTATTAGCCTCGGCTTAATACATTGGTTCCTTTCTCAGACTGTAAATAGTTCTTTAAAAAAAAAAAAAAATTGTTCCAGTTCATAAGAAATATTACTAATTGGGCAGGTAAATATTTTTTTTTCTTCGATCTCAATTAATTTTTAAACACATTTAGTTATAAAAATTAAAATTTATAGTACTTTTTATTAATCGTTAATTACGTAAACTTCAAAAATCAATACGTTACTATCCTACTGCAATTTCTTTAATTTTTTAAAAAACGGAAAGACGAAGAAATAATAAACCCCGACGTCAATACGTAGAAATCATAATAGAATCTTATTGGCCAAAATAAATTGGTTTAAGTACACCTGCACATGCATAGGAGACAATCATGACATCTGGAAATGATTATAAAATTCAAAAGTTTAGGCTGGCCAACGAGGATAACCAAGTTGTCTCTATACTGATGCAATTGTCTTAACTATAACCTTTGACAAATGCCTAATTACTGTTAAGTGAAAATACCATCGTATTCTTGTTGGAACAAATGCAAACATACACACACAACGGCACAATTTAGAATTAGCCACACCTTACGAGAAGGGTAGAGGACGGCGTAAGAAGTATTTGTGAGAGGTAATCAGATAGGACATGGCGTGACTGTAGATTTCCGAAAACATAGCCCTTGATATGAAGTGTGGAGGCCAAACATTAGGGTCGTAAGTTAGGATGTAGTCGAGTCCGGGGGTGAGGCTAGTTTGATAGGATTGGTCTTAGACTACTAGTGGTTAATGTTGTGTTCACACTATCCTCCCGTTTTTCATAGCATTGGGGCTTATTTTCTGGTTTTGTTACTGCATTTCAACTATTCTCTATAGTTCTTATAATGTTGTTATTATTTCTTAGGATTCTGTTTGATGGTATTAATATATTATCCTTTCCCTTCTCTTCCCGTTTTTTCCGTCTTCTTGAGCCGAGGGTCTTTCAGAAACAGCCTCTCTACTCCATGAGGGTGGGATAAGATCTGCGTAAATACTACCCTCCTCAGACCTCACTTGTGAGATTTTAGTGGATCGTTGTTGTTGTTAGAATTAGCTATGTGAAATTTTAGCATTATTCAATTTCAATTGTAAGGAAAAAAATTTATTTAGAGCCAAATATTTCAATATTTCATTAATTTATGTTTTAAATTATGTTATCGACATAACGACTTAATTCGTAATTACTAGTTAAGATTGACTATATTAATCTTTTATAATCCATACAGATCAAACGTACATCGGTTCTAATGTGAGCATAATAACACATTAGAACCCGATATTTAGCAATCTACAAAGACCAAACAAATTTGCCCTCTCTTATTAATGCTAAGATCTAAGCTTTCAACATTTGTTGATGTACCTAGTTCGAACTACGTTGTATAAAAGTTCTTACTTCTTAGATTTTTCCTGATCTGAATTCTGAGATCTTCATAGTCAATAGTGTCGGAATTATTCATAATGCAAAATCAATTTGAAATTCCATTTACAACCAATAGCCATGAGTTTTTTATTTATTTTTTAAATATCCTATCTATTTTCAAGTGGCCTCTTGCATGAAGCCTTAAAGCCAAGTGTTGAATGGCCTTGACAAATGGCTATGCAAATTTACCATATGTCTTCATGCATGAAAGACAAGATACACTTGTCAATATTGGAGCCAAGTGGACTAATATAATGAGACAAGTGTCAAAAGACTCTTGACACTTGTCATACATGCAACATCCTTAATTGCCTATAAATAGGTTATGGATTAGGCATCATAATCATTCAATCTTAACCAAGAATCCATCTTGCTAATCATTACTTTTCTTCCTACAACATTCTTTAATTTCTGTAACAATTACAGAAAATACCTTCATCTTCTCTTCTTTCTGGGCAACTGTTTTGTGCAAATACTAAACTTCCAGCCACGAGTGCACGTGTGTGGAGGTGCTGTGGAACCTTGGGGAGCGACCGACCTTAACGATTTGCACCTAGTCGGGCCGAAATCGTTTTCAAGGCAGTGGCTTACCACGACACAGTATTTTTGTTAAATTGTTTTTCTTTCCTTCTTGTTCTTAGTCAATATTATCTACTCATTTTTCTTACAAATAGATGGTTTAGTTACTCTTCCATTAGAATAAGTAAATTCTGAATTACGTTCTAGAGATTATATATGTATTACTGAAAATTCACATCAAGTGTTCCAATCATCACTGAATCTTCTCTCTTTAGTTTTTGTTATTTTGATATGTGGAGGTGTTTCACAGCCCAAAGATAAAGATGAAATAAGAAAAATAATTAGTAGCGCACTTGGTTGGCTATCTGAACTTTTACCTTGTTGGTGAGGGTTCAATTCCCCACCTACGGGTGTGTTTGGTATGAAGGAAAATATTTTTCGGAGAATTTTTTCCAATTTTTTTTTGTTTGGTTGGTCTAAATATTTTGGAAAATATTTTCCTCATTAACTCGTTTTCCTCCAATTGGAGAAAAATGTTTTCCCTATCAAGAGAAGGGAAAACAATTTCGAAAACTCCTTTTCAACCTTCCTCACCCTATTCTCCATCCCCACCAACCCCAACCAACCCAACCCCAACTCCTACTACCCACCCCACCTCTTCCACCCTAACCCCACCCTAAATAAAAATATTATTAATAGTACTTTCTTTTCATGTTATAGATAAAAAAAAATTATGATATAGAAAAATATTTTTTTCATTTTAACAAAAAGAAAACTTACTTTTCATGTAGAAAAAATATTTTCTTTTCATGAGCGACCGGCCTTAACGATTTGCACCTAGTCGAGCTGAAATCGCTTTCAAGGCAGTGGCTTGCTACGACACAGTTTTGTTAAATTGTTCTTCTTTCCTTCTTGTTCTTAGTCAATATTATCTACTCATTTTTCTTACATTTTTAAAGTGATTTCGTATATAATATTGACTAATGTCCACCACTTTGAACAAAATATTTCCTAATCTGTCAAAACTTGAGCCTTTAGATGGAAATAATTATAAGTGTTGGTCCCAGAAACTTTTAATTTTCTTTGAACAATTAGAAGTTGATTATGTTTTGTTTAACGGTCCTCCTACTGATATTGTTGTTGATAGTTCTAATGCTGCTAATATTATTGTTGTTGATGATGCTGCTAAGAATAAATTTGAAAAGGATAATAAAACAATGAGAGCGCACTTGCTTAACCATATGACTAACTCTCTATATGATTTGCTTATAAATTATAAATCTGTTAAAGTCATTTGGGGCAGTTTGGAGAAGAAATATGGTGCTGATGACGCGGGAAAAAAGAAGTATGTCGTTGGAAAGTGGATCAAGTTTCAGATGGTTGATGATGAGCCAATCATGGAACAGGTTCACGAGTATGAGAACTTAACTGCTGATGTTTTGAACGGGGGCATGGAGATGTGTGAGATTCTTCAGGATAATGTTTTGCTTGAAAAATTTCCACCTTCCTGGAGTGATTACAGGAATTAACTAAAACACAAGAAGAAAAACTTAGCTCTTCAAGAACTAATCAGTCACATGAGGACTGAGGAGGCAAACCGTCTCAAAGATGAGGAGTCTGAACGGCTTAAGGATAAGATGAAATCTCTCTCTCTTTTAATTCTTCTAAAGCTAACCTTGTGGAATCTTCTAGTACTTTTGTGAAAGACGTGTTTAAAGGAAAATAGA